AGTTTGGGACAGTCTGTCCATTTTGTAGACAGAATCAGAGATGGCTAAATGATTATTCTCCATTTACATTGATTAAAAAGTTGACATCCACATGCAGGGAGGTCCCTGGTGGCCTGATTTGTGCAGGATTTTTGTCAGGAAAGTGTACAGAGATACAGAACTTCTCTGTGATGCCACTGTGGATAAAGCAACTCTAAGAGAAATGAATAGCCCATTGAGGGAGAAGACTTAAGATGCAAATAGATCTTGAGAAGTTGAGGGATGGACTATAACTCAGCAGGATGAAATGTTACATAATATGTTCAGTTCAGAAAATCAACTGCATATGGACAGGATGGGGAAGCCTTGCCTTACTTAATAGCTGCTCATGTGAAACAGACCCAGAGACTCCAGTTGACCTCAAACTCAATATGAATCATCTGTGCAGTATGGCTGCCATGGAGAATCATGCAATCTTGGGCCATGTTAATAGAAGTATAATATTGAGAACCAGGGAAGGAGCGTTCCCACCAGGTTCTGATTAATCAGACCACGCTGGGAACATTGGGTCTATTTCTCCAAGACAGTTTCTCAGTGGGACATTGGCAAATTCATTCCTTCTTAAAACGTTTATTGAGCTCCTACTATGTGCCCAACACTGTGCTAGATATAAAGGGTACACAGATGAATGAGACATGTTCCCTGCCCATGCTGACAGTCTAATGGAAGTATTTCACACAGCATTTGATAATTCACAAAGCAATACTTATAAAGCAAAATATATTCAATCAGTTATGCTTAGGATCCTTTAAATGTTCTCAGGCATCACATTGAACTCTCTCTCTCTCTTTTTTTCTCTCTCTGTCTATTATCATGGTCTTCATTTGAGGTAGAAGGCTAACCTAGGTTCCCTCCCTTCCACCTGCCCTTCCAAGTCCATCTCATTTAATTTTTTACCCTGAGCTTGCATTTTCAAAAAAAAAAAGGTCACAACAATAATTCTGCTTCGACATGTTCTTCCTGAACCCTGTTGTCTTAGTCTGTTCTCACATTGCTATAAAAAATTACCAAAACTGAGTGATTTATAAAGAAGAGAGGTTTAATTGGCTCACACTTCCACAGGAAGCATGGCTGGAAGGCCTCAGGGTACTTACAATCATGGCAGAAGGGGAAGGGGAAGGTTGCATGTCCTACATGGCTGGAGCAGGAGGGAAAAGTGCAAAGGGGGCTGAGCTACACACTTTTAAACAACCAGATCTCGTGAAAACTCACTATGACGAGAACAGCAAGGAGGAGGTCTGCCCTCATGATTCAATCAAGACCCCTCCTCCAACACTGGGGATTACAATTTGACATGAGATTTGGGCAGGGACGGAAATCCAAACCATATCATGTGTCATTCTCCAATATGAAGTGGCATCTATTTCCCCTTCCCATGAACCGAGGCAGACCTCTGTGACTGTTAGGATGAGTAGAAGGTGATAGTGATGCTGTGTGACCATTGTGGCTGGGTCATCAATGTCACTGCAGTGCTGCCTGGTTCTGCTGGAATGTTCACCCCTAGAACCTTGCCACAGACTGTGAGGAAGCCCAGCACACAAGAGGCTGCACATTAGTTTTCTAGTTTACAGCACCAGCTAATGTCCCAGCCAATAGCTAGCATTGACTGTCAGACATGTTCATAGATGGACCTTCAGATGCTTCTAAGCCCCAGCCCTTGACCCAACCCAACTAATGCTGGATGGAGCAGAGATTGTCTGTCTCCACTGAATTCAGCCAAAATCTCTGATTTGTGAGCAAAATAAATGTCACTTTTGTTTTCAACCAGTAAGTTTTGTTTCACAGAAATAGGTAACCATGACAGGTATCCACATTCAAGAAGACGTCAACTTATTCTAAGTAGCTGCTGCTTGGCATTATGGGTCTTGGGAAGTCCAGAGGTGACTGAGACACCACCCCTCACCTCAAGAAGGCTTGGTCTTACAGTGGAGGTATATGATCAATGAGGCATTAAAGTCTGTTGATTGCTAAAAAGAGACTATGAGTACAATACCAAAGCAAGTTCAACTGGGTCTAATTGGGCAAATCAATGAAACGTTCACAAAATAACACCTTGCGAAAAGAAAGAGTCCTGTGAAAAGAAGTGAGGAGGGCATTCTAGCAGAGGGAACAGCAAATGCAAGGGTGTGGAGGCATGACTGAGGGTGGCATGTCAAGGGAAGACAGGAAGGCGCTCAGTGGACCGCAGAGAATGGAGTGGAGGGGGAGAAACCAGTCAAGGCAAACAAGCAGAAGCTGGTCGGAGGGGGTTTCCTGTGCCCTCCCTGTAGGCAGTTGTCCTGCAGGGGCACGCAATAGAAGTGACTTTGGAAGGAGAGTCAAGGTGGTTGGTGATAGTCTAGGTGGAAGAAGTGAGGGAGAAGAAAGCAGTGATGATGAAGAACTTCTGACAGAAGAAACACCTTTGTAGAGATGAGGAATTCTGGAGGAAGAGTGATTCAGGAAGAAGATGATGGGTTTGTTTTTATATTTGCTGATTACGAGGTGTAAAAGCATACCTAACTGGAAGTGGCTTAGAATAAAGGTATGTGTTATCTTAGATAGCACACAATCTCAGTGGTCCCAGGATTTGTTCATTGGTTCAATCACATAATCAATTACAATATTCTCTCATACTTTTGGTCTGCCAACTTTGTCACCTTAGGTTTATTCCCTCATGGTCACAAAGTGGCTGCTTAAGGTCCTGGCACCAACATTAGATGGTAGCTTCTGGCCAAAGAAGGGCAGAATTTCCATTCCTGAGCCTATATTAATAGAAAAACTTTCCCAGAAGCCCCTCAGTCTATTGATCAGGATGAAGTCATATGCCCAAGTCCCAGCTGCAAAGGAGGCTGGGAGGACAAATATCTGGTCTTCACAGCCTCCATGTGGGAAGTGGATTCTGACAAAAAAGAAAAGGGCAGTGAGGGATGAATGGCTGTTGGGAGGGCATCGACCAGGTTGGCCTATGCAGTATTCAGGTAGGGATGTCAGACAGTCACATATGCAGATCTGAGACCCAGGAGAGCAGTCTAGGCCAGAGAGTTTAAAGGCAATGTTGCTATATATGCTTTTCCAATATCTGTTGAATGCTGTGCTAAACATTTCATGTAATTATCTTGTTAGTCCTTCTAATACTCTAGGGGACTTGAGTCCAAGCAACTGGAAGCTCTCTGCTTCTTGGAAACCATATGGGTTCTTCTTGTTCCTCTGTGGAGTGGATGAAAAAGGTCCCCGAGGAACCCAGTTCTCCTCTAGGCTCTCCCCATCTAACCTGGATGGATGAGTACGAATAGTTGCTCTCTTGTGCCTGTGTCCTGAGCATGAAAAAGCAGATCCTCATTTAGTGAAATTCTGGTGGCAGAAAATGGAGAGCCTCTGAGGCAGGGTTTGGGTGCTTGGGGGAACCGCTCAGTCCTAGACATATGAGGGAGACCTGGATCCTAGATACAATATACTGTACTTCTTTAGGGATATTGGAATCGTTGAAATAGCTATGGTGCTGGGCAAGGGGGGGGAAAGATGGTAGGAGGAGGGGAAGAGTGAGAGATGAGTTCCCCTCTTGCAGGGGGACAAGCTGAGTTGAGTCAGTGGGCTGGACTTCTCATGGCCCCGGGTCTTTCTCTGTATTCCAGTTGCAAATGAAGGTGGGGGGTGGGCAGTGCTATTGCCCAGACTGTTCTTGGGAAGGGATTAGAGGACATAGGAAAGGGACAGAGTTAAGTGACCTCAGTGGGTGGTCACCACTGAATGTTACCTAGGGAAGTTAGCCACTAAGAAGTTAGGGCTTCAAGACAGACTTGGTCTAATTTGAATTCTATCACAGAGGTTTTTCGTTCCAGTCTTACCTGAGATTGAACCCTACACTTACACAAGCTGAAGTAGCTCAGCCTGGGTACTGCAGAGCCCAGAGCCCCTTGAGAGAATTTATGGCGAGAGCACTTCCCAGGGGGTACGGGAAGTTGTTTAAGGTCCAGCACAAGCCACTGGACCCAGTGTGTGGCATCATGCATGCCCATGGCAGATACTCCACATGCTCACCAGCATTCCATTTGTTCCCCACTTTGCCCTGCTCCCCTGCAGGTAAGCAGGGCCATGTAGCTAGTTCTGACCACTTCATCAGTGAACAGTCTCATCACTCATCCCAGTGAATGAGAAGTCTTCTGATGAGATGTCAGAGTCCCAGATTAAACCAGCCCCAAACAAGTTTGAAAGATAGGTGCCCTGAAGAGCACTGTTGCAGATTTTGAGTGAGAGGAAAATAAACTTTGTTGGTAAGATGTAGGGACTATTTGTTATGCAGCATAACTTTGCTATCTTTACCAACACACAGGCACACAATACGTGTGCAATATGCAACTACTGAAGTTAAACCAGCTACTAACTCATTTGACCTTGAGCCAGTCCCTTTGTCTCTGAGATTCAGTTTCTTCGTCTGAAAAATGGGGGTGGACACATCTGCTTCATAGGGGTGTGCAAGGACTGAAAGTGACAATCCTTGGCCCATGAAGGGACAAATATTAGGTGTTCCATTCTTGTTCATTTCATTCCCTTTCCATGAGTAGATACAGAGAGGCAGGAGGCAAAGACCCTGACTTGGAGAAGGTCCCAGTGTCATCTGGGCACAAAGTGAGATGGGCAATGAAACATTCCTCCAGGCGGGAAATGACATTCCCTGAGAATCAACTGAACATGGGGCAGGAGCCTCCATTCCCTGAAGGGTATTAAAGTGGGAATGAGGCAAAGCCTGTCCTGCTTTGGCAGGGCTCCCTCTGCCTCTTCTTCCCCATCTCAAAACTGGATGGAAATCCAAAGGTCTTCCTAAGTGGGGGCCACTTTACTCCTTTATGCTCCCACCTTCTCTGGGCCTCCTTCAGGAGGGAAGTCAGCACTCACAGTTGTCTTAGGGTTCCATATCATTCTAGAGATCCCTCTGTAGAGGTGAGGGAGTTCCAGATTTCTGCCACATTGGGTCCTCTTACCTGGTTGTGACAGGAAATCTTTGCTCAGAGGCTGCTGTTGTTTTCATGTGCCCAGCTGTGGGTGCAGAGACTTAGGAGAGGGATCATTTCCTGGTGGGAGGGGTCTTTATGGGGTCTGCTAGTGTCTCAATGGTGGGCTGTGAGCTGGATAAAGGTGAGTCCCACAGGGCCACGGACAGGCCCACAGCCCACCTCCATGTGGGCAGGGACACCTGAGTGATTCTGTAAATATGACAGACTTGGATTGGAGTTCCTTCCCCAGTGCTAACTTCTTGTGTGGTCCTGGATAAATCCCTTATGCCCCTGGTTTTCACTTTTGGAAACTGGAGAACACACACACCTATGTCATAATACCTACACATGGTGGATGTCACAGCATAGTCAGCAATGGACCACACCTGCAGTCTGGTGGGGCATCCCACTGGGAAGCACAGCCCCAGCTGGGGACTAGAAGTGGGGATGAGTGGGCTCTGCGCTGGACAAGGACAGCGGGGCTGGATGTACAGCGAGGCAGGCATGCTGGGCAGGAGATAGGATGGCTTGCTGCCATGGCACGGGCATCCTGCGTGGCCTTGGAAAGCTGGCTACTGTGCCTGCCCTCCCTCCCCAGCTGCTCCTCCTGTTCCAGATAAATAGTTTCCGCCTGAGCTGCCTCCTTTCTGCCACCCCCAGCCAGCTTCCTGTTGCAACACCTCAGCTGGACAGTAAACATGGGCCCTATCTGTCTCCACCACATCCCTGGCTCCCTGCCAGCCACAGGCTCACCCTCCTCCAGTCCAGCCCCAGCCAGATGTGCCCGAGGCTTTCACAGCTGTTCCCTTGACCCCAGAGTCAAAACTCTCTCTATCAAGGGATTGCCCTGTCCCTTCCTACCCGTTCCAAGTTAGCCCTGCCCTCTCCTCCCTATCAGGGCCGGAATTGAGAGGGCCCTGGGGTTGCCTTTTAACTGTAGTTTCTCCTCCACTCCCCACTCCTTAGCAGCCTCTGTAGTCTCCAGCCTTTGGTAACACTGTAAACAGTGCCCACTGTGTCTTCACCGTGCCCTCAGCACCCTGCTTCCCAGATCCACTGGGCTTGTGTCCCCGCCAGGCACCCAGGATGTCTGAGTGCTCCCGAACTCTCCTGAGTAGGAGGAGGCAGTCTAACAGGCCCACTCACACGAGGCGCTCTGGACTCAGCACCACATCCCTCCCAGGACCCATCTTCCTTTTAGGCTGACATATGGTCTCATCTTCCCAAGGAGGGGTCACCTCCATATCTCCTGCTCTCACCCCAGCCCCATCCAAGCTCCTTGGAGGGTTGATGTCCCCACAATCATTCCCACAGGGAGAAGAAGGCTTCTGTTCTCTCTGGGGCTCCACAGCCTGCTGGGAAACAGGTCCTGGTATTAGGTATGAAGGGAGCAGGGCCTCTTTCTGGCCTGGGCAAGAGTTTGGTGCTGTAGGTCCAGTCTTTCTAGGCCTCCACCTTTTCACCTTAGCATCCGGCCACAGCTTCAGCATCCCTGAGAGACAGTAAGGATGCCCCATCTGTCTGTCCAGATAGTCCTAACAGGACACCAGTGGATACTCAGAGTTGCATCTCGTTCTCTCTTGCTCAATTCCCCACCCCCACCCCAAGCACACCAGCATGCTAGGAGAAAAGGAAGGGGTGCAACATGTTCAATAATCTTTTAAGATAATTTAACACAATGGTCATTCAGATCACTATGAAAAGACCGTCTGGGGAAACGATGTGAAAAGAAAGATTCTCCTGCTCAGAATGCAGTGAAAACCTGAGGATCAGGCTGAGCTGGGGAGAAGGCTTCCTCCCAGCCATCACGGCTCAGGTTCCAGTCCCCCAGACCCATGCCTCAGCCCCCTGCCCTGAGCTGCAGAACCTGGCCTGGCTTCTGCTCCTGCACCAAACCTTTCCAGAGCTCACCTCTGCTTCACTGCAATCCCTGTGTTGCATCTGAAATCCCTTTTCTTGGCGATTTTTCTGCAACTCATTGTTTTCTCATTCGCCACAAGGTCCCAGTCCCTGAATTGATTAGGGTCAAGGACCTGATTAGAGAAAAGGACAGCTAGAAAAAAGGACTTAGAAATCATTCTCGCATCCTCTCTTTCTATAGAAGAACATAACTGAGGCCCAGGCATACTAGCTGGCAATGACAGCAGCTGAGATTGCTCAGCATTTACTATGTGCCATATCTTGAGCTAAGCCCTTCACATGTACGTTCTTATGCAATCCTCACAACAATCCTCAAGAAAAGTACTCTGATTATCCCTATTTTACAGACAAGAAAACCCAGGCTTGGTGACATTAAATGACTTGCTCCAGGACACCAGCTCCTAAGTTTTAGGACCAAGATTCTAACCCAGTCTGACTTCAATGTCCAGGGCTTTAAACTACTAGCTGCACTGCCTTCCCTGTGGAAAAAGGTTTGGGATGCAACTTGTCCAAAATCCCAGAACAAATTTCAGATGCAGCTGGCCCCAGAACCAAGGTTACTGTCACTCGCTGTGCACTGTTAAAGGCCAGGACCTTGGTGAACAACTGCTGTGACGAGGGCAGGGCCAGACCTGGCCTGAAGGCATCCTGCTGCCTCGGATCCTGGTTCCTTCTTTCTAACACCCAGTTTGGCCCTGGTTTGGGAGGGTGTCTGGGAGGGACCTGGGAGCCCATCTTGCTGGGAAGAACCTGGGAATCCATCTCGCTGACTCCTCACTGTGAGTTGATCAAGGTCACGGGCGAGCTGGGCACAGCCTAACTCCCAGACCAGCCCTCTCCACCCTGGCTCCATTCTCTGACCCCTCCCGTGAAGGGCCAGGGCTTTCCAGGGTCACGTTGGCTCCAAGACTATTTCGGTGGTCAATATTTGGTGGCAAGTCCCAACAAGTCCTTCTGAGGGGTTAAGATTAGTACAGGGACCTCAGCTATGACTCACAGAGGTGGCTGGGGTCAGGCCAGCCTGGCTTCTGTTACTGCTCTCCTCTGATTCACTAGTGGAAAAATATTTGGCCCAAGACCTTTCCCCAGCTTCCAGCTTCCTCCCTCTTCCAATCAACTGGGCACTGAAGAGTGGGGCTGGGGCTTCCCCATTTCTCAGCCTAAGAACCTGAGTTACCAGCAGTAGCTGGATAGTTGTTTTGGGTTCAGGGAGATTCCCTGGCCCACTCTGATGGTCCCCAAACCTTCTCTCATTTTATCCATATTCCTGGTCTACCCAACATCTAACCAAAGGGCTGAAGTCTACCTTCTCTCCTTCAGCAAGAAAACCTCAGGTCAGGAGGGGCCTGGTGTAGCCAGGTTCTGTCTCCACCCTGCTGAGACCTCTCAGAGTTCACTGCACCTTTTCAAATGTGATGACCTCTCTGTAAGTGTAAGGGATGCACCACATGTGTGTCTCATGTCACTCTCACAATCTTAAAGCCAGGGAGGTGTCAGTAACTTACCTGTGTGTGTGTATACATGTGTGTGTGCATACATATGTAGAGGGAGCATGAGGAAGAAAACTAAAGGGGAGACCAGGATAACCTACAGGGATCCCGGCACTCTGTGTTCAGAAATCCCAGATCTGGGCCACCAGAACTCAGTTTTCCCCATCTATAAGAGAGGAGTTTGGACTTGACAGCCTGGAGGCCAGATTTTCCAGAGTCATCTACTTTTCAAATGTGCTGCCTTCTGAACCACCCTTGGTCTTTTCACACACAGCCATGGCTTGGGGCTTTGGACAGTCATCATTCTCCTAAGCTCCTTTCCTGGTCTGCATCATGGAAGCACCTTTGAAGGGGCAACCAGGGCCACACACCAGCCATCTCTGATCTCTCCAGAAGGCAGAAGGGAAGAAGCTGGAGGAAGGGGAGGGGCCGACTTCCAGTGAAACCTCGTGATTTCTGTCAACAATCAATCAGCGGTCACCTTTCTGGCCCTGCCCACTGCCACTCCTTCCAGCTTTAGATTCAAGTTAGCTTTCAACAAAGACCTCAGAGGCCCTGTAATGGAGAGTACAGTGGTAATTGTGACATTTCTTCTTCCTTCTTTTATTCAAGAACATGGCAGAGATGTGGCTGCTGTGGAGCTGTGAATCGTGAATGGAACAGTCCTGGTTGGAAGGACCCGGGGCCTGAAATATGCTACTGTGGGCAACAAGGAATTGCCATGTGAAAAGGATGCCACTGCCCCTCCCCAGCATGGGGCAGTGAGCAGCAAGGCCACCAGGAGCAGCCTTTCCGGCATGCTGTGCCTTCAGGGACACCAGGGATGGAGGGCACAGTGGGGTAGGTCTGGGCAGGGAGGAAGGGTAGCTGCTCCTGCCTCTTGCCTGGCATGAGGCCAAGCCAGAGAAGGGCAGTGGGAGCCCAGAGCCATCTCTGTAGCTGAAGAGTCCCTTGGACCACCAGCCCAGGAGCCTAAAGGTTGGTTAAATAAAGCTGCCAGCCCTTGAGAAAAGGCTGGACAGTAGCCCTTCAAAACACTGCAACCCTGCTGTGCGGACAGACACCACTTAAACAATCAACAGAGGATGCCAACAGATGCTCCAGCTGGGTCAGAGTCCTGATCTCGCAGGGTGGGGCTGGTGGCCATGTGAGATGGTGGGCAATAAACAGCAGTGTACCTCCAGGGGGACAGGGAGTAGAGTGGACACAAGATGGCTTTAGATGGATAGTGTTAGGGGTGAGGAGGGATTGTTGTGTAGAAGAAAGGAAGAGTCAGAAACCATGATGGAGCCAGAGGGAAGGGGAAGTACTACGACATGGCAAGACAAATCCACTCAAGTGGGATCTCCTCGTCCATGAATGAGCGGTCTCTGTAGCCCCTAGTCACTGAGTGCTGAGGACACTGAATCCTCAGGGTAGATGGCAGGCTCTGCCTTGGTGGGTGGCTGCACCCTACAAAAGCCTAAGCTGAGCTGGGGCTCCTGGCAGGTCATGTTCTAGGGAAGCTATGGCCACACACAGGGTGGGCTCATGCCAGGGCAAGAGGTTGCCCCTCTGGCTCACCCCAAGCCTGCAAGGCAGGTTTGGCTGTGCCGCCCAAGGCCACCCTGCATGTGAGGAACGCAGCTGGCCTGCCTGGAAGAGCCCAGCATGACCTGCATCCTCCCCACTTCATTCCTGTTGCCCCCAGGGACCAGTAGGGCCAGTTCAGGTTGTTCCAGCTGACATCTATCAGCAAACAACACACCCACCCTCACTGGCCAGGCCTTGTTTACACCACTGCCTTGGCTCCAGACCTGAGCATCACAGAACACAGGGTGGAAATTCAAGGGGAACCTCATAACACTCCCTAAGAGGAAGCCCATCCATCAGGCCCCTCCCAGAGTCCCAGAGTCTCTCCTCCATTGAGTGGGACAGCAGGTGGGGTCTGTGGGTATCTCTATAAACTTCTGCATCCTTGTCCCTACTTTTGACAAGCTAGTAACAAGGCAGACACGTGGATACTGGACCAGCAAGACAACTGAAATGATGGAGACCTCCCTCACATCAGAAGGAAACCTCTGGGACATCACTGTCACCTTCCAATATCAACCTCTGCACCCACTCCATGGTAGGGGATCCCTATAATTTCTAGACACAACAAACTCATCCCTATGCTTGGGATACTTCTTCTCCACCCCATCCTGCTTTGCCTGGATACCTGCTACATACCTG